TATATATATATAGATGAAATTAAAAAATTATGACAGAAGTTTCTTTGCACAAAGTTATGCAAAATAATAAAAAAATAATGCGCAGAAGGCACGACTAATTACGGTATCGGTTAGTCAAACTTTTGCGTCCTTGTAAAGAGCTTACGGAAAAAGTGTTTGAAGCCTGTATAATTAGCGCAGCGCTCTACAAAGCAACTCATTAAAATCGCGCAACTCGAATGCAATCCGGTTGTAATCACGATTCATGTATATACATACAAGCGACTGCCTGCTACTGCTATTTACTTGCTTCCCTTTAACGCACTTCAAGCAGTCTTTCGTGGACAACGCGCCGACTCGCACCACTGATTTTGCCCTCTCGGCTCTCGAGACGAATCGAAACAGAGAAAATATTCGTGAATGAAATGAAATTCGTCCAAATTTTAGATTAGTTTATAAACAAATTACGACAAAAATAGCTGTTGAAGTTGATGAGAAAGTTATGGTGCTCTGTGCAATAATTAGATGAATTATTATTATTATCGAGAATTTAGAAAGTTACGCAAAGTGAAGTTACTTTTTGTATTATAAATGCAAAGTTATTTTGTGTTATAAAATTAATCGATAAGATTTTCGTGCAGTGAAATTACTAGTTCTGAAATTTTTTTAAATTAATGACTAACTCAAACATTTTTCTAAACAAAGTTATTTATATTTTATTTATAAAATTTTTTGATCAGATTAAACTTTGTAAAAGCGAAATGCTTTCATTATAAAATACAATCGATCGAAAAATTGTTGTTCTCCAAAGAATTTCAAAAGGATCAACAGGATTTAAATATTCCAAATTGGTATACAATTCACATATCAGCGAAAATGTACAGTGTACATGTGACACCAGGAAGATCCACGGAGCAAAAGAAGAATTCAGCCGACGTGGATAACGAAATCAGAATGTATGGAAGACAGAGGAAGGAATCGATTTCTGTGAAGCTGGTAAACTACATACGTTCGCAGTTTCAGTCGGATGCTATGTCGGGTGAGTCGGAAAAAGTTTAGCATTCTAAAGAATCTGAAGCATGCAATATATTATTAAATTTTGATTATAGTTGCTAGATTTTGCTGAGTTCTGTTTTTATGATTACCAAATTCACATGTAAATTAGATGTACGCATGAGTTTTTTTGATGCATGAACTTTATTTATTTATTATATATTAATATACAACTGCAGCTCGACTGCGTAATCTAACTAAAAATACATAAGAAACTTCCATTTATTTTATTAATTTTTATCTATATAATTTCTTATTTATATTTATTTATTTTCTATATAATATATAGGAGACACAATATATGAGATTATTCAGAGTATTTCATAGTATGAGCATAACTTTAGAAATGAATTTAGAACGCAAAAATAACAAACATTTTATGTAAACATTAGTTCTATTTGACATTATTTCTGAGTTACAAATATTTTCGCGTTTTAATTAATTAAGGATTTGCTGCAACAGTGGGCTAATTCATACTTTTTAAAAACGGAGTAAATAACTTTAAGTAATATTGATATTTTCTCCCCATTACTTTAACTTTAGAGTTTAGTTACTCCTTTTTTAAAAAATGTGGGTCAGCTACTCAAGCGGCAAGTGCTTAAATTCTTGTTACAAACTGAGCTGGAATAGCGTCTTTACACATCTTCGCGTCTTACTGATTAATTATTAAGACAGAAATGTGTAAAGACGCTAAGATAGTTGAATTTGTAACAAGAATTAATGAAACACGATTAATGAAAATGTCTGTAACTCGAAAATAAAATCAGATGGAAGAAATGTTTATACTAACTTTATGTTATTATATTATTTTTGTATTCTGAATTCATTTCTGAAGTCATGCTTACACGTTATGAAATACTCGTATATACATATAAATCCTATATATAATATAAAATCCTAATAATCTTTTCCTGCTAACACACATGAAAAAAACATAAAATCTCACATTGCACAGCATTACAATCTCACGTAATAACAGTCTACAAAAGTACTTAATTAATATAAGTATCTTATTATTTTATCTCCGATATATATTTGCCTTTTCAAGATATTGAGTCCTGAAACTTCTGTACTTTAAAATAGAACTTTCAATGATCTACGGTAGAAGCGTTATACGTTCAAACATAGATCAGTCCATCTATCTTACAAGATAATATTGATTATTCAACTTCCATTTCTGTTTGCTATTTCTTTTTGTTCGAATATCGTTTTCGTTTCAGTTACAAATCGGAGAAATAATTGCGCCTGTCATTCGTCGATGATGCAAAAACGGAAGAGTACGTTGTTGCATCTCGCGGCAATTGCACAAAATAATTACTGAGACGTCAATTACGCGGTATACAATGACGAATAGGCTTCGGTTGTTCCAGTTCCAAGCTGGAACATTAACAAAATTCTTCCGTGACTTAAAAACGGAAAGAAGTGATTATTCTAGAGAAACGTCCCTTCGTCGTCACTCTGCGGTTCGAGGAACGCCATCATCTTAAAAATCATAATTTTATTCTAGTTGTTTGTTTATTAATATATAACCATAAATCGCGCGCGAATTTTAAGTCTTTGCTATATCCGGCGCGTCCGGGACATCGTCGATTCGATCAACACTATAAAAGAGCGAATCTGAAACCTGAATGTTCATGTCGTCAACGATGGATGGCGGCTCGTACTGATTCATCCACACATCATTGATGGGAGCGTTGTTAGTAATCTCTCTCAGATCATCATTGTTAGTGATGATGGTTGCATGTGTCGACATTGGTTGCTCGAGTGGATTGCTGGGCACATTCGTCATTCGCATACCTTGCGATGTGTCGTTATATAACATCCAGTAAGGCGAAAAAGAATGTTGTCGCTGTTCAGCGGTGTATCTTCGTTGAATCGAGCAGCCGTTAATTGCCAGATTAGATCGCTGCGAGACGATTGGAGCTACGTAGCAATAGACGCAGGATGTTTGACTTAATTTGGAATAATCTACTTCCTTGGATAGATGATAATTCAGAATGTTCTCCAAATTGTTGGACTCGGAAGTCCACTTTGGCCGGAACGCTTCCACTGTTCCTGAATGATGAAATATCTTAATTAAAACGTCAAAAAAATCTGTTCTTCAAAAAAAAAAAACAGTTGATATTATTAAGAAATGTATACATGATTTTTTATATTAAAAATACATATAGTTTATATATCTTATTTTTACATTATGTTTGTTTTATATTATTTATTTATATTAATAAAAAAAAAAAGAAAATAAACGCGCACCATTTGCCGGTCTCTGCAAATTCCCCATACTAATTTCTTGATTAATATTATGTTCTAATCCTGCCACAAGATTGTTTTGCGGTTGCTCGAATCTTTCGTTGAATAGATTCTTTGTTTCCTGAGTAAAACGAGGATAAATGTATTGATACTGTTGATCATTCGCATAGACATTTTGCTGCACATTATTCTGTCCGAAGGTATCAACGTTGCGAAAATATCCCGTATCCATCTCCCCGTGTTTGCCAAAATTTTGTAGATAATAAATATCGGAGGTATCATTGGCCATTATGTCTGTGCCAGTTGTGTAATTGACGTTCTGCGTATCAAAGTTAAAGAAATTTTGACCGTTGTTGCAGGGGGGCTCCGTTTGATACTGATAAGTCACATTGTTGTCCGTGTTTGCGGTAGCTACAGTGGGATCCGTATTGTTGTAATAAATCGCGTGAAACACGCGAGAGTTAGAGGACTGTAGATCACCGTCGGGTACTTCCACGCTAGTGATTGTCCAATTCTGGTAAGAATTGGGCCGATTATCTACGTCACTAGGAAACCTGTATTGATTGTCACTGGTTAGTACACTTGAAACTTGCTGAGGCACCAAGTTCGCTTCGTTTAGCAAGAACTCGCCCCTAGAATTCTTCAGCAAGTTGTAGTATTCATTGGTATTTGTGTCCAGATGATTCTCATTCTCATTATTCTCTGACTCGGCGGTTAGGGTGTCGGAATTGTCTAGTAAATTGCTAGCCCAGAAGAGAGAGCTAGCAATTTCACCTAGATTGGCGCCTACTGGTGCCTGTAACATTCTCTTTAATAAAAACGAACCCTGCGAGCCTCCCTCAGGTTCTTTCAGCACTTGATAATTCGATCTATCAGTTGACGAGATCGCAAGAGGATCCGTATCGTTGATCAGATTCACTTTCGGATAGCTCGGCTCGACAAGAGGGATCGTTTGAAGATTCGGCGACATCGACGTTGTCCGTAGATCTACAATATTCAGATCTTCCACTTGATTATTGTTGTTGTCACACGCTTGGAATTCTCGTTGAATTCTCTTGAGTAGGAACTGCTTAAACTCCTCATATTGCGGGATCTTGGTATCATCCTCCTTACTCACTATTTCCTCCTCGGCACCGATCTGCAAAAATGGAAAGCACTTTGTCCGAAGTCAATCATTGCCGCTTGTTTGCTGCATCACGAAATTGAATGAAATATAAAATGGCAGAAATGAAAGAAAAAATGGGAATGCAATTTGATTGATACGTCGATGCCATGTTGCAACCAACTATGGAAATGTAATAACTTACCCACTGATAAGGCGATTGTTGCTGTGGCTGCTGTTGTTGTTGCTGACAATAATAGTCGTCATCAGTCATTACATAATCGGGACTGTGCAACGGCGTCGATGTTATCCCGAGCTTCGAGTCCTTTGACTTCCTCGTTTTCCTCTTGCGATTCTTTCTTAATTCTTGTAACAATCGGCAAAACTCTGCATCATTTCCGCTTCTAGCGGCTTGTAGAACTTTGACCAGCATTTTCTTCTGTATTTCAGGATCATGAGATGACAGAGTAAGATAATAGAATCAAACATTTGCGAAAATTAATTAAATTAAAAGAAATGGAAAAAGAATCATCCTGATGAAGTGAACGGCAAGATTCACGAAACGTTGTCATTAACAATGAATCATACAGCAAACTTTTTTCTCTAAAGTATCGAATTTTTTTTACGTGAAAAGGCTTTAAAAGTCAAAATTTTGTGGATATTAATATTCTTAATTAAAGTATACTTAATTTTTACTTTATATCATTTATTTATGATTTAAAGAAAAACGTGGAAACTCTGAATTGAAAAATAAAAACTTCATTAATTACTTATTGAAAAATTTATTGAAAACTTATTGAAAATCTGATAATGAGACTAGAAATATCAAAATTGAGAATTGATAAACATTTTAGTAGAAATTAAATAATTTTTGCAAATTGATTACTAATGCTATCAAAATTACAGGAAATTAAAGTTAATGATTAATATTTATAACATCATATTATATGGCTCGATTAATTTTGGACTCTAACAATATCTCTATCTACTTAAAGAAAGTAAATAAAGACGGTCGAAATTAACAAATGCATAGGAATACATACTGAAAATAAAACGATTAGTTTATCCAAACAAATTTAAACAATCATATGAACATAAAGAAAATTAATCGTATTTTACATGCATCCTTATGAGAGAAATGCGATTGAATAATTTTCTTTGTGTATATGTAATGGCTCTGTGCGATATACAAGTTTGTCTGGATAGAATTAGCTTGGAATTATAGACATATCTGGTTAGAATTATATAGAATTAGCTTTAGCTAATGCACTTTGCTACACTTTGCATTTGAAACAAAAAAAAGTGCATTGTTTTTCATATAATATGAATGACACATAATTTATCTTTGTTATTTATCGAATGTTAAACAAGGATAAATAATCTATCATGTGTGAAACAGCAGAATGCACCCAAAGTGAAGTGCATAAGCGTAAGTGCAGATCTTAGGCGAAAGAAGAAAGTAATGGGGTGTAGGGGAAATCCCGTCCGTGAGAAACTGACAAGAATGATGACGTTACGTAGACAATTTCACGTAAGTCTTGGTTAGGATCTCGTGTACCTCTCCGGATTGCGAGGCAGCGTTACATGAACGAGAGGAAACGGCTCGTTCTTGCCGGTCGCGAGCGATTGTCCTGCGATGGTCATTCATGTCCACTCGGGTCGCGGGAAGCGATCGGGACCGAAGTGGAAACGGCGTTCAAATGGGTCGGATGTATCCGTCCGTTATTACCACAACCCCTTGCGACACGATGACAATGACGATTTGGACGAGTTGCAGGATTGCAGCAGCTTCAGGTGATTGTGTCTTGGTTAGGAATTTCCAGATCGCACATTCATCTGGATCTTGTCTTCGATCGGATCGAAAGAAATCCGGCTAATCGCCGATTTTAACGCGCCACGCTCGACTTCCTCGACTCAAAGAGCTTACAGAGGATACGCCGAAGCCACTTGAATCGCAACTGATCGCAACCGTCGATCGATCGGGGCGCGATCTTCGATGGGAGTTCGAATAAATTTGTCTCTTGGTAACAGAAACCGGTGACGGCGGTGACAAGAATGGATTAGATTAGACAGAGAAAGAAAACGGTCGTTAGGACGTCTTCGTCGCGATGATGATGTCGGCATTGTCGGCGACGATGGTGACAACTCACCTTGATGTTACCCGGTACGCGATACCTCAGGGCCAGGGCCTGCAGCTCCTTGTAGGATAACTGCGTGATATCACTGCCGACGTTCATGCTGCTGCTGCTGCTGTTGCTGCTTTATCTATATGGCGGAATTTCGTCTGCTCCGCTGCGCTCGCCCGATCCGATTTTCGAATTCGAGCCGACTGACTTTTAGCGCGAAACGCCATAAAGGCATAAAGTCTCGTTCTCAGTGGGAGTCGGGACGCGTAATTAGAATTATCGAGTATAATCGTAGAGAAGGAGAGAGACAATATGTTGGTAATGTCGAAGCCAATCCGATAGCGCGGTACTTATCGATTGGTCCCAATCGCGAGATCGAGATCTTATTGATCGTCATTTGTCGGCCTGGTAGATCCTTTTCAGAATTCAGGGTGCAATTCGAGAAATTTAAGTACTATTTGTTCTATCAGTTTATCTTTATTTATAAGTAAAACAAGAATAGGATAACACTAAAGTGCTAACAAGTTTCTCCGAATGCACCTTTAATCATTGAAAAGTTGACATGCCAATCCCAATCGCGGAAACATATTCTCCCAGAATCGCGATCTAATAACAAGAAATGACGTAGACTGGTTTTAATTGTAAATGACGATCATACTTAGACATACTTAGGCATGTTCTTTTTTGCTATCTAATGTCCGTTTCCATCAATGTAGATTAACTTTAATCTCGGTTCAACTTACTCTTCGTCTTTTTCTAATTCTAAATATTAGAAAAAGACGAAGAGTAAGTTGAACCAAGATTAAGTTAATCTACGTTGATGGAAATGAATATAAGTATATTCGCAATCACTGTCTCTACAGAGATGTGATGATGAGATGATGTATACATGTTTCAATATCGCGATACACATCGTAACGTTTGATTTATTCATTCATCTAAAGCCTCGTAAATTGCAATGGAATTACATAGAATGATAGTGACTGAATGCTTTCCAGCAATAAGAGACAAATGAAAAATAAAAGGTGAAATAACTGACAATATAATATAGTGTTTCATGTTTATTTAACATTACAAATAACAAAGATGTTGTGATTCATTTTGTTATACTGGGTACTTTCCAACAAGAGACAAATGACACAATGCAACACAATAAATTACATAATTGTTTGCAATGTTAAACAGAGATAAAGATATTTGACACTCATTTGTTACACTCATTTGTGTCTCTTGCTGGAAAGAATTCAAAGTCTTTAAAATCTGATCTGCAATGTATTCTTTGCTTCCTGTTTCTAGTTTGTTTGTCTTTTTCTCTCGTTCCCACTGTTTTATCAACAATTGTGTTTATTGTCACATGTTTCTTCAACAATTTTATCTTGGACGACAGAAAATGAAGAAACAGTATAACAAGTAAAAAGACAAGAGGATAAAACAGAAAACAAAGATTGTAGATTATATTATAGATTAGACGTAATTCATTGTATTATATTGAGTCATTTGTATCTCTTGTTGAGAAATATTCATTATTAGATGTAAAAAGAAGTTTATTTAGTTGTAATCATTGACCAATAGATTCCGTTGCATTTATTTCGCTTAAGAACGTTCTCCGAAAAAATCCATTTTCTTTAGATTTTTCTGAAACTTACAGAATAAGCTTGTTTAGCATTTCATATGCTTTAAAACTCAATACT